GTGGTATGCGCCGCAAAGTTGCCCCATGAAGCGAAGGGATGGTTATGAACCATAACTGAATCAAGAAAGGACAACCAGCATGAGTTATACCCAGAATATCCGAACACGCATGAATCGTAAATAAAAGAAGCTTTTAAGCAGACTATTCGCCCCTTTTCCTTCTAGTCCACTTGAGCGATTACAGGAGTTATTTCAGACCCCAGAAAGAGAACCGGCTCCGATGCAATTAACAAATACCAAATGTTTCGAAAACAGATTTCTTAGTAGTGGTCGGTAGTCATCAAAGGAAATTATGTCTGATGACCTGAAATATACTTTGGCATGAAAGCAAACTGTCTGGATAAATATTACTAGTTAAGGGTGAAGATAGATGACAGGAATTCTCTTGCGTTTCTAGATTCTACGGGGTTTATGCGAACTAAAAGCGTTGACTTATCAAGGAGATTTCTGGAGTTAAATGATTTTGTTAAGACGCTCATATATCTTCATGGGACACAAGAGGGCGGTAAAAAGTACTGCGATGAGCCCTATCATATAGCTGGTTTGGAATGCTACACAGAAAAATATAAGTTTAAATAAACCAAAATCTACCAGCCATTGGCACAGCATCTAAAGCTGACGTGCGTAATGTAGCATATAGCATTAACAGCCGTTGAGTAGGTATTTTTATAACTCGTGCCATTCAACAATTTTTCCTATACTGGTAATAAGACCGTTTTTTTGAAGCTTAAGGGTTGAATGTGACTAGTTTTGGAATTCAACGGCAATAGTCGGCGAAGTAAGATCCTTCGGTGGGTAAACGTATGAATTAGGAATATGGAAAATTTTCGCGCACCGCCGCTGTTGACCATGCCCAAAAATAGGCCACGTGTCCACTTTCATCTGAATCTTTGTAACACTCAGTCAGGCCAAAAAAGCATCGTATGAATTAAATTAAACATCTAAATGCGTCAGAACGCTTTAAGGGTGCCTGGGTATATTGATGGTAAATGGAGCGAAAACTAGAACAGAGGCATGGAAATACCAATAAACAAAAAAGTAGTATTAGCTCACGGTCTACTTTGCAGCTCTTACAAATACAGGTATCAGACGCATTCTAGATGACCCCTTTTAGTAGTATTAGATAGACAACATCACATCGCTTTCACGGTGAGATATTAAAAACTGAACTAAAAACTACCTTAAAAACTGTGACAGCGCATAGGTGTTATTTTCCATTAAGCATTACCAGCCGGTACCCCACATCAACGAAATACAATTACACAGCCACCTGGACTTACTACAGAATAGGCCAGGGAATAAATAAGAAGTGAGGGACACCAAAGCGAAACTAATCATTCGCCAGTCGTGAGGGATGAGGAAGACTAACATGCACACCAGCACAAACGCCCGTTTAAGGGTATGGTCACGAAGCAAAAAGGGTAACTTCGTCGGCAAGACAACAAAACTGAATCAGTTCAGTGATTACGCAGGCGCATGCAGCTTGATTGTCTTATTAGCTCCCACTTACGCTGTTTTGGTTATCAATAACTAGATATGTGATTGGATGACTCTGGTCCGCACTTGTTAGACACAAGTCTCTCATCAGTGCATTCTACTGAGTGGCGTCAAAGCCCTACAGTTCGCGCACAGCATTTATTTAACTTTTTGTGTATTGGGGCAACCGAATGTTGGAAAGCTGCCCGCGAGGACCGTTTGTTAATGAAACATGCCTAGCAGAGTAAATTGCAAATTACCTGGAAATTAAATATGTATTTTAGACGCCGAATGCATCTATAAGGGAACGGATTTACACAACCTTCTGAGCGTCGCGCATGGGTTGCTATCGCAGTCAGCCAGGCGGTGAAATTGGCAGCAAGAGTGAGTTGTCCGCGTAGGTTGTGTCTGGTCAACCAATCAAATAATTAGTCATATAGCTGCAGCAAACATCGGAGCTGCTAGTTTAATACTTCAGTAATTCGACTGAGGTCGCTTTGACGCCGATGTTACCACGCAT